ATAAAAAAAAGTGTCGTGAATCGTGATGATATTAGTCACAATTATTCAGGTTAGGAAGTTTCTTACAACTACAAAATACTGCGATACAAGCATACTGCAGACACTATGGTAAAATTTTCATTTCTCTGTTTTAAAATATAAGAAAGTAACTTGTGTTTTTAAAATCGAAAATACGTTTTAAAGCAGAGAATTTCACAATATTTCATGGCTAACAGAACTTTTAACCTGAATAATATTTGACTTTAATTATTAATATCTTGTTTTATTTCTCTCGAAGCAGAGTTTATTGAAAGTAAAATTCTTACTTTGGATGAGCAGGCAGTTAAAGAAAAGAAATAAACGATCGTTCGAAGTATATAATTTTTTAACTCTTAATTCTCGCAATTTTCTCTGAAAGTTGGAAAAATCGCGCGTATATTATTTAGATAATACAATTTGCGTTAAAATTCATAACGTTGCATTTACAAATTAAAATTAGAATGCGGAAGGCTATACAAAATTATACAAAATTAAAAATACATTTTTCCGTAGAATCGGAACAATATCCTTCAAAACGAAAGAGAAACTTCTATATTATCAAATTTCTCTAAATTATATTTAATAATCAAAGGAAAATCTATTTCTTTGAATTATAAGATAAATTGTTTATAAAGATGTTCACTACAAATGCGTGATATCAGTACAAACGTTATCTTTTTAAAAAAAGTAAAAAAAGGCGCAAAGTATATGTGCTTCTCGAATAAAACCTAAATATCCAATCTAATTAATAGTAATTTTAATTTTTCTTCAAAGATTCTTATTGAAAGTCTTTTTAATTTTTATGCCAATCCAAATAATAGCAATTTTAATTCTCTATCAAAAATTACTATTCCTTAAAAAAATTAATGTATCAAATGAAAAATTAAAACCTAGATACTACAATCTTAATCAAGTTAAATTCTATCAAATTAAAAAGTAAAATGCAAGTGGTACTATCTTTTATTACTTAACTCTAATGATGTGTATCATTCGTATAAAAAATTTGATATCAATAATTGGCACGAAATTAAATCCTATGTAATTCAGATATCAAATTAAATAAATAATATCAACTTTAATGATCTGTATTATTCATATAAAAGATTTGATATCAACAACTAACGCCAACTTAAATCTCATACTAATTAAGTAAAGAATATAATTCCTAATTGTTTACTTATTCATATACTTTATTTAATTTGGTATGGGATTTAAGTTGGCATTAGTTGTTGATATCAAATCTTTTATACAAATAATATATATCATTAAAGTTGATATTATTTATTTAATTTCGAATTACATAGGATTTAATTTCGTGCCAAATGTTGATATCAAATCTTTTTTATGAATGATATATAAAGTTTTGTATAGTTTTATTGATATCAAATCTTTTATATGAATAATACGTATCATTCGTATAAAACATATCATTAAAATTTATATTATTTATTTAATTTTATATGGAATTTAACTTGGCACCAATTGTTGATATCAAATCTTTTTTTATACGAACATATTATTAGAGTTAAGTAACAAAAGATAGTATCACTTGCATTTTATGTTAGGGAATTGGTGGAAGCGCTCCTCAGGAAACTATTTGTAATAAGGTTGGCCTTTCATCACTATCCCGCGAAGGAGAGAACAGAGACATGGCGGCACGGAGCGATGTGAATTATTCCTGTTATACACTTATCCAATAAACCATATGTTATTTCACAGTGATCATTTAGTATTCTCATAAAATACCTCCGCCCACATAACATGACGCAGTCGACAGAATCTTAAATGCGAATTTGCTACAAACTACTGGGAAAAAATACGTGTTTGTAATATCGGACAAGACATTAGGCTAGACAACATAATGGAATTCCTGAAACAATCACAGTCAATAGGAAAGTGACCAGGCTCTAAATTGGAAAAAATTTAAGAAGAGTTTCAATTTATATTTAGTAGCACAGATAAAATACCGGAAGAAATCAAAGCAGCCTTATTAATGCACTGTCTAGGTAAACAAGTGTTTGACGTAATAGATACGTTGGGCAGAAAAGAAGCTAAAATCGATAGATGCGATTATTGCAAAACTTGATGCGTATTTTATACCAAAAACGAAAGTGTGGAGAGACACAAATTGAATGTGAGAACGCAAAAGTCAACTGAATCATTCAATTTCTTATGAGATCTCGGAAACTAGCAGAGTTTCTTGCAACTTTGAAAGCATAATTTAATCAAGGATAGAATTTTTTATGTGGCATATACAATACAAAAATAAAGGACAGGTTGCCAAGAGAAGACGGATTGAATTTAGACAAAATAAAAAAAAAATGTGTCGAGCAGCTGAATGCATCGGGACTTAAAAAATCTATATGATGAACAAAAAGTTGAAATTGGTGCTGTTGCACATGGCACATCAAGACTAAAACAACACAACAAAGACGGTAAAGGAGCAGGAAAACATGATAGCAGTAGAAATCCGAGACAATCTGGTAAAAACGATAATAGGCAACTGGCAACAAAGCAGTATATAAGGAGGACGACGACGACAGCAAAGAAGGAGGGACAACAACGCTAAGCAACCAGCAGCAAACAAGTGTGTAAGATGTAGATTAGAGTGGCATGGTTATAACTCATGCCCAGCAGTCAGAAATGTATGAACTATAGAAAAATAGGACATTATGCAAAAGTATGTAGGAATACGAAGAGAAATAAATGTTGATAACACTGACAAACAGGATAGTGACAGTCAGAATTGCACAGACAGAATTGCATGAATTAGGATTAATTAGAATTTAATAATAAAAAAAGAGACACATACGCTAGGATATATGGGAGAACAACGAAGATGACTGATATATCAAAATTTAACGGAAATCAACAAGATAGTACGAGTAACATTTAAATTAGACTCAGGAACACAAGCGAATGCAATTCCGGAATATTTATTTAAAAGACTAGGTTTAATACACACATTAGTATCGTGCATGATTAAAGCTACTAGTGACTACTAGTTACTCAGGGAGTTCATTGGGTGTTCTTGAAAAATGTATCTTAGGAGTAAAATATAAAGGAAAAAGTCATACCTTGAAATTTTTGATAATTAAGACAAAACCAAGGACTGAAATGGTGCTAGGGATTAAACCTATTAAAACTCTGAATCTTGCGGTACTAGTAGAAGCAATCAATGAGAGCAAGTGTGATTTAGTAACTGAGTTTAAGGATTTGTTCAAGGGAATAGAACGAATAAAAACAGTAGACATTAAATTAAAACAAAATTATGAAACTATTGTAACACCCTGTCGAAAAGTCCCTTTCCGCATTGTAGACAAACTTAAAGAGGAATGTGTAGTGACGACATAGCAGAGCGAGTAATAAAATCCGGAATATGTTAATCCTATTGTAATCGTTAAAAAAACAAATGATAAAATTCGAATCTGTTTGGATCTACGGACACTAAATGACAACATTCTAAGAGAGCGCTATGAATTACCAACTTTTGATGAACATTATTATTTATATATTATTAACAAGAGAAATGGCAGGCAGTAAATAATTTTCAGATGTTAGATGTCAACAAAGGATTTTGGCAAATAGAATTGACAAAAGCAGTGTCTAAATTAATAACATTCACAATTCCATTTGGGAGGTATAAATTTCTAAAATTAGACCTTACGGGATTACTTATCTCTAATGCATTAGAAATTTTTTATAGAATTTTTTCACAATTATTTGAGGGAATCCCAGGGTGTACAATTTACATAGACAATATAATTATTCATACAAAAACTCGTGAAGAACATGACAAAGTATTAAAAATTCTAGAAAAAGTTAGAAAGTAGAGTAAAGTTACAAAGATAAATGGAAATTCCATCAGATCAAGGTTAAATATACAAGTCATATATTTTCAGAAAAAGGCATTAGCCTGAATCCAAACAGAGTTGAAGCAATCAGGCAGATAAAAACAAAAAACGCGAAAAAATTGAGTAGATTCATGAACATGATAGCGTACGTAAGCCGATTTATTTCCAACTTAGTACAAAGAACAACAAATATATGACAACTAATGAAACATGATATAGAGTGGCTATGGATAAATAACCACGAAAAAGAATTTAATGATATTAAAAAAACATTAACAGTTCAATCTTAAAGTTCAATCTTAAAATTTTTTGACAGTAATGCGGAAATTATTCTGTCGGTTAATAGCTCGAAGAATGGTATGGGGGCAGTGATTTTATAGAATTAAGTACATATAACGTATGCGTCAAAATCTCTGACAGAGTGTCAGGATATGAGTACAAAGATATGCTCAAATTAAAAAGGAAATGCTAGCAATCACTTTTGGATGCCAAAAATTTAATTAATACTCACAAATGTCTATGTCTTTTCAATTCTGAATGCATTTTTATTTATTTATAGAAATTGCTTATAGAAATTTATAAAAATTTATAGAAATATTTCTATGCCTTTCAATTTAAAAATAGTATCAGCAATTTCTGTGCAATGTGAATACTACTCAATTCAATAATCTGAATATGAAATGCAGTTTTACAGTCTAATTGAATAAAAAAAAATGTTTATTTAAAAATGGATCAAATGCTTAAATTATTCAAAATTATAAGTAGGAAATTTTTCATTTTAATCCAACTAAGTTCAAAAAAGTAAAAATAATTGAGTTGTAAAAATAATTGAGCTTGAGTTGTTTTGTTTCTTTTTGATTAGAAGTAAAATGAATGATTGACATAACACTCGCAAATCAAGTCGAACACAGCCCGAATATTAGACTAATGATATAATAACGACGTGCAACATCGGCCAAGCGAGACTAGATTATCCGACACTTACCTAATGTTGTCTTATAGTAATGTAAATTATGTATTTATATTTTATTATATCTGCTAAATTATGATATTTATATTATATCTATATAATTTTGTGTACTGATTTAGCTGGTTGTAATTGAAGTAGAGAATGAATAACACATTTACCAATTGAAGAAGTGGTGTAGCGGGTAACGTAGAAGATTTATAATCCAGAGGTTCAAATCCCATTAAGGTGCGTTTTTTAATACCAATTTGTGAAGTAGTTAATTTTCAGTAGTTTATAATTATTATAAATGTCTTAGGAATAAAATTTGTAACCCTTAAATATGAATGTTTTTTTTATTTCGAATATTAAACTAGTGTCAGCTAGGATCCAATCCATTTCAATTCATTTTTATGGATTTAAAGTTCGCATTAAAAAAATTTTAATCCATTTTAATCCATTCTCGTTTGCTGGGATCAATAGTCTAATTTCCACCGAAAGTTTAATTCGGATTAGAATATAAGAATCAACTATAGTCAAGTTCCCCTCGTTAGATTGTAACAGGGGAATACTCGACTGTAGTATGTAGTGTGGAGCGTGTTAGAGCATGCGACGCGACAAACTCATGATTCACACACAATTCTACGACATCCATCATACGACATCTGACATTCATTGTTAGACTTGTTCTACAATACGTCGTATGTCGGCGTCGGATGTTGAACGCATGCGTATTCGATTGTCGTCTGTCGCATGGAAAGATACAATCGATCATGATTGGTTAATTTCTTACGGCACGACATACAACGTCTCCCGAATGATATCGCACATAGTGTGAATCCTATATTTCAAATACGCTGGATTTATTCGGAGCAACTCCGAGCAGTTCCCGAAAGACAAAACGAACAATGCTAATATTACATGCATAAATTGAGCGGAAAGGCGGAATAGGGAATTAGAAATTATTAATTTTTATTTATTGATTAAAATGCTTATATTCAATACATAAACTGAAAAGCTAAACATATTGATAAAAATTGCACTGAATTAAACGAATACAATTTTTTAAAATGAATACAAAAGTGTGTTTGTCATTATATGTTCCGCTTTTTTGCGGAAATTGTGCTCCATATAAGGGCAAGTTCACACCTTGAAAAGCGGAAAGCAGAAAAGCAGTAGCCAATCAAAACTCGCGCTGATAAGTAATACAAAAAGTCGGAATTGTAGACTATCAGTTAGAGTTTTGATTGGCTGCTGCTTTTCCGTCCAAGGTGTGAATACGCCCTAATATTAGGAGATTAAAGGCGGGAACGCACGGAAAGGTGGAAATCTACTAAAGTTTAGTTAATTCTGTCTTCCACGTTTCTGCGTAATGGCACCCTGATCGTCGTATTGATTCCGCGAGTTCCGTTCTGTTGCCAATTTCCGCTCTATGGGACGGCACTCTGAAATTAATGATTGCGTTCAGCAGAACGTTTATGTTGTAACTGTTGGAAGTTTTCTTTACATTGATTAGGTTATGCTTTTAGATCAAGAGGAATGGTTCAATCTCAGCAGAGAATCATAAGAACTATTGTGTTCTGCTGAACGCAGCCAATTGCGGTATTTCATCAGATCTAGTGACTTTACTTTTCAGCGTCCCATGAAATGGTACTTTACAGTTGGCTAATATTGAAATAATACAAGGCTCTGACGTAAGATGGCATAAAGTGCTACAGTAATTTTCGTGCGGAAGTCCTGGAAGGAACATGGCGATGATGATTTCATAGTATTAGATGCATTTTTGATTTCGATTGTTTCAACCTCAAAACACGTGCACAGATCATCGCATACGATCGAAAGTGATTTTTAATTATTTGATAAATCGGAGACAAACGCGCAACGCAATGAGTTTCTTCAGCAAAGTGTTTGGTGGGAAGAAGGAGCCAACTGCTCCTTCAACAGCCGAAGCAATTCAGAAGTTACGTGAAACAGAGGATATGTTGATAAAGAAACAGGAGTTCTTGGAGAGCAAAATTGATAATGAAATATTAATAGCGAAGAAAAATGCGTCGAAGAACAAGCGAGGTATAACTCGCAGACTTTCCCCTTTTGTATTTCATGTTCACTAATTTTATAATTGTATTTGACTTTTACAGTTCAACTGTTAGTTCAATTGGAATTATCTCTTTTATTTGCAGTCTATGGCTAGTATTACATTTGTTGTATGACGAAGCATTTCAAATCTATTGATTGGCTGCAAAAAAGAGGAGTTGTCAAATGTCTCTATCCTGTAGTCAGTCAATCATTTTAAAATGTTGTTGTATGACAAATATAATAGTACTCATCATGTTGAATTGTTATTGTGTGTTTTGTATTTACAAGGAGAAGATTAAATTAACAACGAAATTTCGAAATGCAATTTGTTGCAAAAAATTATTTAAAAAATCCTAAATTCTGGCTTCAAATACTTTTCTTTTTCAAAAATGAACAAATATAAATGTTTTAAAATTATTGAATCGATTAATTACTTGGTAAGTGACAGATTTCAAGAGAAGGAAGAAAAAAATATTATGTATTATAATGTTCCAAAACAATTGGATTTTTTCCAATATATAAGCAATGTAAGTACAGTTTGGATTAATTTTACTATTATTTTGACAGTGCAGCAAATAATAGCATTAGATGCATTTTGTTTCATGCATGTGATGTGGGTAATGTATCATTTTATCTTTTTCTTTACATATTCAGTGCACAACAATGATAAAATGATATATTGTGTGCATCATATATGAAATGGAACACATCTATTGACACTTACATATAACTAGTTTACATTAATTTGAACTGTATTTATATCTTCAAAGTTTTAGAAGTGATTTAATAAATATAAACAGTATATAAGTAAGAGGAGTATACAGCCATGATATAAGGTATTTTTAGCAAATGTCATATTTCAAATATTTATGTTAATCATATAAAATTTATAAATGTTTCAGCTACCATCTTTAGTATGTCAGTAAAATTATACAATTAAAAGAATAAAAAGAATACGAATATAATTTTTTAAAAACATTGTCATAGAATTTAAGTTGTAATGAAAAAATTCGTTGTCATATGAATTCGCGAAGAATCATTATAAAATATTAATTGGTTATAATTTAAGAACTTTAATGATCTTAATAAATTATTAATGATACTTTGATTCTTTGAATGATTCTTTATTATATATTTACACATTTCATGATCACAGTTTATGAATTTTATATGATTGACATAAATATTTGAAATATATGACATTCACTAAAAACATCTTGCATTGTGGCTGGATGCTCTTGTATTTACATCATCAAAAAAAAGTCAATTAGATTGAAATCATTTATGAGATGATTTAATTTTTTTTGCTGTAATTTCCCTGTAATTTATTATACTATCAAACATGCCAAAATGATTACTTAATTCAATGATATTAAAATATTCATACATATTAATTTTTCAAAAAAAAAAAATCAATCTAAAGGCTTTGAAATTCTTAATATGAATATACAAAATCATTTTTTGCAGCAAATCGCATTTTACTTTTAGAAATTTTTCTTTGATAATATTTATATTTAATATCGTTTTAGATATAATTTAACCCTTGTTACTTATGAAAAACTATAATATATATGAAAATAAATCAATGATTATTCTAAATGTATTTATAAACTTTATTAAAGCATTAAGAGATTACATTTATATTATTTTTTAATATATTCTCTTGCTTGTTAATATGCATCAATATTTCATAAGTTTATTTATACTATCAGAAAAAATATTTTTTCATTGATGAGGATGTTGGCATGGAATGTGGGAGATCTGAATTTGAATCCTCGTTAAGGTAATATTTTTGGCAATAAATTAAATTATTTATATAAATTAAATGATTCTTAAGTGATTATATTAGCATCAAATTATTAATGTCCTTCTAAGATGCTTGTTAGCATCAAAATTATTGAATTGCTTATCAATTTAATATGTGGTATTTTACTGTGCTACTTTAGTTCTGTTCTTTGATTTTATTTCAAGAATAAAAAAAGATTTTGGTGCGTAATTTGCAAAATTGAA